GTGACGATAACTGCTTACATACTCCAGGATGTCAAAATATTCTGTACAAGTTGAACACAGCTCCCCTCCGCGCTCCTACCCGACTCAAACACCGGCTTCCCCACATTTCCCGCCCTCCCCCACCTCCCCCAACCACTCCGCCCCTTCCACATCCGCAGGCTCGGCTCGCTCGACCTTCTTTCATGGTGCGGCAACCCCCCGCTTCCTCCGCAACGGACCGAAGTTTAAGTACCTTCCCAGGAACACTTAACAGGAAGGTGCCCCTCGGCTCGGTTTGGGAAGGGTCTCGTCAACCCGCCTCGGGCATTTGGTTTTCTTGGGGCCGTTCTTGGTTGGTGTTGTGGTTGTGTGTGTTGGTGTGTGTGTGTTGTGCGTGTGGGCGTGGCCGTGCGTGCGGCGCGCCCGATGTTGGGAAGCCGAGATACTAAGAGTAGTGCACTGGCGGTCTCGGTCTGAGGGGTCTCGGGTTCAAACCCTCGTGCCAATGGTTTTTTGGTTGTGGTGGTGTTGTGTGGTGTGTGTGTGTGTCGTTGTGGCGTGTGCGTGTGCGTGTGCGCTGTGCGTGTGGCTGTGCGTGTGCGTGTGTGTGTGGTTGTGGTTGTGTGGTGTGTGTGTGTTGTGTGTGTTGTGTTGTTGTGTGTGTGCGAGCGGAAGTAGCCAAGATCATAAGGCAGTAGTGCCTGGCGATCTCGGACCGGAAGGTCACGGGCTCGAGTCCGCCTCTGATGTTGTGTGTGTGTTTCAGGTTTGTGTTGTCCAGTTCCTCCTTTATCATCAATCATCATCATCATCCTCATTTTACCTCATCCCTAGGACGTAAAAACCATGGGTGTAAAAACGATTGAGGCATGAAAATGCTGAAAATCCCCCCCATAATAGCTCACGTGCCCTCTACCTCGATAAAACGGCAATTCGCGGGGAAAGAGGCCTGAATATTTCAATCAGTAGCAGCATTCAACCACTCTAATCCAGTTTTTGAGTCGCAAGAGGGTATGACTATTGATGTTGATTCTGGGGCCACCAAATTTTTGGAGATAATTGGAGAGGGACCTCAATGTGTAGGTCGGCGACAGATTTCAGTTCGCGGTGCGGTGAAGGATTCAGACTCCTCCCGGGGCACTAACTTACGCAGTATGACCTAAGTGTTGGACTTACAAGTAAAATACTTTACTGTCATTCACTCACTTGGGAGAAACGTTTTTGTTGTCAACATACTTACCTAATTATCTGGGATACGCGAAGGACGCAATCAGATAGGTCATACTTATTGTTTACTGGCGGACAAAGTGGTATTCGCGCAGGGTTTAGAGAGTTCCTTTCCTCCTTTCGTCTCAGCCCTTAGTCACTCAACTCTTTGACAGATCTTAATTTACACCAACTATGCGATCAAAACCTTTCATAATAAATAATTTCAATAAGAATAATTAGTTAAGGATACAATCCGCAACCAATTCGATTTCGATTCTTTCGAAGCCATAGGAACAGGATCATCCATCGCTGGGTCACGAATAGGAGTGGGACAAGATTAGAGGAAGGAATGTTCGCTGCACGTGTCATAGCCCACGTATGAAGATTTGCTAACCCGACAATCACTTGGATTAACAGAAGGAAACCTCTTGTTATTGCATAATAAACTACTAGGAGGAAGCGCCTGGTAAGGATGTCTCATCGATCACCGAGTTAGAACAGTGGGTTTAGCGTCAGAGCACTAGTTGCCGCTGTTTTGCGGACGCTGAAGGCAGATCCTAGTTTGAGTTGGCGTGGTCGATAGGACTGCTGGGGAATAACCCTCCCTGTCGAGAGGAGAATTCTTAGTTTTCGTGATACAAGCGAATGCGAAGCATTCCTGCGGGCTAATGGCGAGTCTTGGCCACGTAAAATAAGGAATGAATTCCAAATCAAGTTTCCTAACAAACGGGGTCCAGACCGCGCGCGATTCTTATCGACTCCCGTTCTTCTCATATATTCTCCCCGTACACACCCTACACTGCATGCACTACACTTCTGCAAATATGCGAAAACAAGAAACAGCTGTGCATGATATACGGGACTTAGGGGTGGTCTTGATGGAGGGTGTTTCTGGAAGGGAAATGGCCCCAAGTCGACTATAGGAAAGGCACCAATATCACTATCCTTTTGGTGGGAGCAACAGCCGTACATCAGGATACAACGTTATTATCTAATTGGTGCATATGAATTGACAGTTCAAGTGCTAAGAAATCGACTATCAGTCGATTATATGCCAACTCGGTAAGATAGAATGCACTGCAGTTCATTGCCAACACATTATTTATTAAAATAGCAGCTTTTTGATGGTATGCCATCATCATCGATTTCGCTGTATGGAAGCTACAAAAAGACTAGATAGACATTTGTGGCTTCCATACTAGCAGAAAACTAAATTGATGATAGGTAGCTATCGAAAGCTGCTATTTTAATAATAATAATTGTTGGTGAATTGACGGCGCATATAATTAATTTCATTGAAATGCCCACAAAAACTCACCAATTACCATCATCACTCACTTCTCTAAACTTCAGTAGCGGTGTCGTAACTGGCGCTCACAGGATTCTGAGCGTGGGCGATAGCGGATCGAAAACGAATAGGGATCGTAGTTTCAATCGATCGTGTAAACGATTGGCGTTCCAACATTTGAATGCAAAACATTCCAATAGGAACTGTTGCATGCTTATTATATTGAAGAAACATTTCATGATGAAGGATTTACCTTGATAAGTTTCGATATTCAGTCACAATATAATAATATCTGTGCTTCGTGAAGGATGGAGGAATGATTGAACGAAAAAAATTTTTAAATGTTTTTAAGTTAAAAGCACACAATCAATACTTATTAATTTCTCGTCTGATCCGCACGATACGAGAATGCGCCCACTCCGTTGTTGATATCAATCATTTCATCAATCATTGATTGATTTAATCGTCAACCGTTAGATGGAAAAAATTATCATTCATCACGGATACTCTAGCTCCTTTATTAAGGTAGATGAAAGACTACGCAAACTACAGGATTTCATTTTCTTAACAGTCACCGCTACAGTATTTGGATGTTCAACTGTAGAAGCGTGTTTGGGGGGACGTCATTTAGTAATTTTGAAAAAAAAAGTCTTTTCTCAAAACAATACAGATTTGAAACTGCCTTTATAGTCGCATGAGGTGTGGTAATCTGTTCCTTCCTTTCTCTTTATTGAATCATGGAATTTTACTTTACCGAGACAAGCCTAAAGTTGAAGGATACCGGTTCATGAACCTTTTTTCATATTACTGACCTATTTCATAATACATTTACTACGCAATCCCTTATCACTATGAAGATTGATTAGATTTTTCGATTAATGTGAAAACAGGCTGTGCATTTTGTGAAAATTTAATGCAACTGGTTATTAGCCAAAATGTATCAACGATGATTAGTTAACCAATTTATTTTATAGGCATGGAAAAATATACAGCTAACTTATATATTACATATTACTGTTTTATAAACGATAGTTTGTTTCTGGAAAAATATTTTCTTTGAGGAAAAGGGTTACAATGAGTAAAGAGAAATAATGTTCTGTTTACAATGAAAGAGAATAAAATTCTCATTTAAAAATAATTTATATTTCACATTTAGTTTATGTATCATTCAGGTAGAAATGTAAGACAAACATAAGTTCTAAAGGCAATTTTACTATTAATTTCTGACACATTCTG